GTTCAAGAATAATTAGAGGACAGATTGTCCAGCTGTAGTGGTTGTATGTCTTGATATCTCTCTCCAGTATCTTATTATAAAGCGTCACGAATAGGACAGGCAGGTTAAACATTAAGTAGACCCCAACGACGAAGGACACACTTTTTGTCAACCTCGTTTCTCTTTGCCTCTGCCTTTGACTCCGTTCGGGCAGGTCAGAATTGGCAGGTTGCATTCGGTTTCGATTTTGGCGCAAATTAAAAAATGATTCCCATATTTGCCACTGCAGCGATAAGAGGTGAACCAAGCCACCAAATGCATCCCTTTTGAAATCTTGTTTACACCGGCCCACTGCAGACTTGTGAAAATAATATTGAAAACCCAGATAAAAGCCGTATACTTCGTTATTCGTATGGAGGAAAACACAGCATTGTACCTTGCCCGAAGAGGAACTGCTACGAACTGCTCGTAATTGACAGTAGCTAGCGTCATAGGGGCCACTCCATAACAAATGTAGAAAGCATTTGCATACAAAATTCTGACAAAGCAGGGAACGGAACGATGCTGATTTTCCATGAGTCGGTACATGATGTAACCCGGCTAAACTGCAAGACCAACAAAGACATCCGAGAGGGCCAAATTTGCGATCAAAAGGTTCGATGGTGTTCGAAGCCGAATTATGATAGCAGCGCAAATTAAAAGGTTGCAAATGACAGCGAGAGAGGCTGTTACTATATTGATTATGGCTGTTATAAGGTTCATCGTGTATCGCTCAGATACGTGGTCAAAAGACGGATCGGGCAGGTGGAAAGAAGAAAACGGTGGACCTTCCATCGAAGAGTTGTTAGCCACGAGTTCCGCAAAATGTCCGTTAAGAATCGCTGATGTTATTGTATTCTGATAAAGCTAGATGCAAAGTAAATCCATTAAACAAAACTGTCGAATTACATTTGGAACCTTTCTAAAATAGGTCACAGTATATAAGTGTAATTTTCTAGGCTAAAGAAGGTCATTTCGCTCATGGAATGTTCTCCCGCACTTTGTGATACCCGTCGCACTATGTAATACCCATCAATTTGTAATAACACCTGTCGCACTGTTTTATACAAAAGCCGTCTCACCTTGTAATAAAATACTATCCCAAGTTTTAAGACCAGTAAGATAGGTAGTTGCACTTTGTGATGACACTTGTCGTGCATTTTGTTATTAAAAGAGTAAAAAACACAAAACCTTTTAATAACGTAGCTTAAGCAATTTAGATATCTTGATTAGATCTAAGTGCTGGTTACGTAATCAAACATGGCAAATTTGCATTACGGGTAAGGAAAAGAAAGGGCCGCACTTCTGTTGTAATAATAGGATTTTTAGTCATCAAGTTTGTATGATAGCGCTAAAAAATATATTAAATTAAACGTAGAAACTGCGAGATTTTGCTAAGTTCAGCATGCGTAAACGATACCGGTCTCAATACAGTTAGCCGCAAACAGTTGTTATTAGATCAAATCTGTAATTGATGTTAAACTGTAACCGTCACTGTCATGATCCTTTGTGTAGTTGTTATCCACCTGAGCTTTTTGAAAGTAATTAATTATGTAAAAAGGGGAAATTCCTATTTAACCAATCGTCGTATTAGATTACGTTTTCCTTTAGATAGTTCATAGCATTGTCTAATCTTTTGTACCTCAGGGTTAGATAGAGCTTTCTTTGGGAGTATCGGGGGTCGAAAAATAGTGAAAAAGGAAACCAGTCAGCTTAGTGGTGCTTACACAATAAATCCACGTTGGAGCCAATTTTGTTGTAGTTAGTCATTGTCTCGAGGATAGTCAACAGCCGTAATAGATCCCGATCTTCCCGCAGCCAGCCAGTGCCCCAGGAAACCTTTTCCCAAAGAAGTTTATCGAGTTGTTCCCCGCCTTTCAGTTATTTGTGAAGGCAAAAAACCTGTTTTCACACTGCTCCTAAATCGGTGAAACAACCCTTCGAATACCGATCTTTTAGGTTCTCTGTGCCCATCTTTGCGAAAAATGTTTAAAGCCCTGACATAGCGAGTTTTCTGTTACATTCAGCTCTTTCTTGAAAGCACGACTAAAGCAGCATATCCGATGATCTTACCACAACCTCTACATCCCTTTTTTTTTGCAGTGACGACGTAAGGCAATTGAATGCTGAGTGTCGCTGTGCTTTAAAGGAGATGAAAGTGTGTGGGAGAATATTCCGTGGATATCATGTCATACAATAGGCATTCGGGAAGGTCACACATGTTTCTAGGCAAATGTTCGCTACAGACCTATTTGACACTACGAAATCATTTTCAAGACAATGAAGAAGTTTTGATCCTTCCACTGGAGTTTTGTTTTCTATGAGTCTCCATGTAATATCTGAAAATGCTTTCGCTGCAATGAGGCAGGAAAATAAAAAAAACACCTGCCTTAGGAGGACAGAACCTCCAACTACAGCATAAACCAAACCATAAGAATTCTTCGGGATATAGAACATCATTTTAATTTTTAAATTGGAAACGTTTAGTGATATCACCTCAAGTCATAACGGAAATCCCACATCGCGTGGTGATAGGTCTTGCCCAAGGATATATTCGCACTTCCTCCTTTTACCATCAAAGAAGGTAACTGTTGTGTATTCATTTGGAGGAGACACTCAATCCTTAATGCCCATTATTCGCTTCCGGCGTGCTCTACAACAAAACAGTGCACTACAGGGGCTTCTTTAATTTATAATTTTCTGTTTCAAGTTACGTAATGTCAAAAAACCGAGTCTGTGCATGGGATTAAATTGAGTTAGACTGGTGCCCAATAGAAACCCTGCACGTTATCATCGTGTGTAGAAAATTGTTTAAATTTAATATTCAAAATGCCAGGGGCCTGAGCTGGAAGAACCACACTTTTTAAATGATAAATTAGAACAACTTTTTTTTGTAACTTGATGAGTTTAAGTCGGGTGACAGCACGTCATTGCTTTTATGGTGCTAGTAGTAATATGTAAAGAAGTTTTGCCTGTTTCAAGTTACGTAGTGTCAAAAAACTGAGCGTGTGCATGGGATTAAATTGAGTTAGATTGGATGTTTTTTACGAGACGGGCTCTAAAATATGCTTTGGGGATATGGACGGTAAACATTTTTTGACTGCTATGGAATGGGCTAATAAAGATAAGGCTATGAGAGGTATTCATCTAACTCTTTGGTATCTTTGCCTTCTTGCCTCAACTGCGACCCAAATTGGCGTTTTAATGGCAAACATACAACCACTACAGCTGGACAGAGATGCTGGCTTTTCTAAACTCCTGCTCAAATCCATTCATATGTTTCTGGAAAAATATAGAGATTCTTCAAAGAGTTAAAGATCTCCTGAAAAAAATTGTTTCCTAAAACACATTTTGTAGGCAAATTTGTATAATATTTTGTTCTTTCTTTCATTTCGCCCAATGTTTGGTTAATATCTTGATTACTGATTTTAAGTGTCATAGTAATTTTCAAAACTGGCGGCAAACGTCAATTTCAAGTTTTACACCTGCTATTTTCAGAACTTCTTCAATTAATGCAAGCTTTTTCATCAAAGCCTCAGGTTGTTAAATTGCGCCTCATGACAAGTACTAATTCAGGTGATGGATCTTTGTGAGAGTACACTATTTATAAAAAGGCCGTTTCCCTTTATAATAAAAAACTATCCAAAATTTTAAGACTGGTAAGGTAAGCAGTCGCACTTTGTAATGACACTTGTCGTGCATTTTATTACTAAAAGAATAAAAAACACAAAACTCTCTCAATAACGTAGCTTAGGCAATCCAGATATCTTGACTAGATCTAAGCATTGGTTACGCACACATCGCGTGGTGATAGGTCTTGCACAAGGATACATTCGCACTGTCTCCTTGGACCATTATTTTCAAAGAAGGTTATTGTTGAGTATTTATTTGAAGGAGATACTCACTCCTTAATTGCTGTCTATATATATTGTCTTTATTCATCGATCAGTTTTCTAATAAGCTGGTACATTGTTGCTCGATAAAAGTAATTTCAAATCACTAAGTAATCCTTGATATTATTAGCATTGGTATAAGTACCCTTATTATGTTCTCAATACACTAAGTTATCACTACAATGCCTAGCTTGACTCTCGCAATAAAGTTTAGCGATTAAATTGAATCTAGTATCTCCCTTAAGAAGTAGTGGGGAAGCATTTGACTATTTCGCCCACTATTCGCTTCCTACATTCTCTACGACAAAACAGAGCACTGCAGGGGCTTCTTTATTTTATAGTTGTATGTTTCAAGTAATATAATATATATTTACATAATATCAAAAACCGAGCGTGAGCATGGAGTATGATTCGATTGAGTTAGATTGGTGCCCAATAGGAACCCGGCACGTTATCATGATGTGTCGGAAAATGTTTAGATTTAAAATTCAAATGTCAGGGGCTTCAACAGAAAGAACCACATTTTACAAATGATAAATTAGAAAACCTTTTTTTTTAGAACGTGACGATTTTAAGTTGAGTGACAACACGTCTTTGCTTTTATGGTGCTAATAATAATGCATAAACACGTTCTTCCCTTAACCAGTGAGAAGCAATAAAAGTGATGCATTATGACACAGGGAAATAAAACAAAGTTTTCGGTTTACAGTCTGGCAGCAGTTAGTTGTCATGGATTTGAATATTTCCTCTCAGGATTCTTCTTGTTTTCATCTTCCTCATCCGTCATTCGATTTAGCCTCTGAGCGATTCATTGCAAACTTAATAACAGCCATCATCAACATCGTTACCGCTCCATTCTCTTTTATTGCCAACATGCTGATCATCATCGCCATTTTTGACTGTCCCCGTCTACAAACTCCTTCCAATCTATTGCTTGCGACTTTAGCATTGTCAGATGCATTTGTCGGCCTGACAGTCCAACCAGGTTATATCACCTACCGGCTTATGGAAAATCAGCATCGTTGAGTTCCTTGTTTTGCAAGACATATCTACAATTCTGCATTCTACGTATGTTTTGGTGTTTCTTTCATGACTCTAACCGCTGTGAGCTATGAGCGCTTTGTGGCTGTTCGTCTACGTGTCAGGTACAACGCGATGTTTTCTACGAGACGGGCTCTAAAATATGCTTTGGGGATATGGACGGTCAATATATTCTTGACTGCTCTGGAATGGGCTAAAATAGATAAAGTCATGAGAGGTATTCATCTAACTCTTTGGTATCTTTGCCTTCTCGTCTCAACTGTGACCCAAATTGGCGTTTTTGTGGCCATACGAAGACACAATCGACGAGTTAATAACCAACTTCAAGTGGATGAAAAGCTACAGATACAAAGAGAAGTGAAGCTGGCGAAAAAGATATTGACTATGGTTGTAATTTACTTTATTTTGAACTTTCCCGTTCTATTTGTGACATTTTATCATCAGATATTAGGGCAAAACATTCAAACATACAACCACTACAGCTGGACAGAGACGCTGGCTTTTCTAAACTCCTGCTCAAATCCAATTATATGTTATTGGAAAAAGAGAGAGATTTTTCGAAGAGTCAAATATCTCCTGAAGAAATTAATTTGCTAAAACACATTTTTATTCTCATTTTTTGAACATTTTGTTTTTTGTTTTTTGTTATTTTTTCATTTCGCCAAATGTTTTATTAATATCTTGACTACTACTATTTAAGTGTGATAGTAATATTCAAAACTGGCAGCAAACTTCCGTTGAACGTTTGACATCTGCTATTTCATAACTTCCTAAATTATTGCAAGCCTTTTCATTATCAGGTTGTTAATTTGCGCTTCATGACAAGTACTAATTCAGGTGATGGATCTTTGAGAGAGTACACAACGCCTTCCAAATAATTTCAATTCAATGAAAGCTCGAATTTTCTTTCTTTTACCGCCGCATTAGCATCGCAGATGATCAAACTTTACGGATGAGTTTCAAAAGGAATATTGACAACGTCAGATGGTTTAAACGGGAGGAACTTTCGGGTCGTAACTGTTTGCAAATAACAGCCGACTTTTTGCGTAATATCAATGATTAGCATTTTGAAAGGTAGAGGAGAAGATGGAAACGAGGAAAAATGTTTGAAACCACCAACCACAAAAAAAATTTATATAT